AGAACATTTGCTTATAAATTTCTACTCTTATTACTTCACAGATGAAAGCTATCTAAACTAGAACTCTGCATAGCTGTTCAAAAAATTAACTGAGCATGGGATGATTAAAATATAGCACCTTCACATGTCTTTAACTACATTATGTTCCATAAAACATTTATTTTTAAATGAAAAATTGAAAACAACTGACATTCAATTTTGCAGTAAAAAAAAAAGAAGCTCAAGTATGTGATAATTACCAATAGTTTTAAATGCGGTTATGTCCTAGGAGGGATTCAAGGTCAGAGTAAGTGAGGCAAAGTCCCTGCTCTGTGACACGCGATGGCAGGGGAGACAGACGCAGACACATACGGGGTCACCTCAAACTGACTCCGGAGAAGTTCACAGAAAGTGCGAGGAGAACCTGCCAAGGAAGCACCTCCGTCTGGAAGCCAGGGAGGGCCGTCAGGGCTGCCCTGGACCTTGGCCTTGGAGGGCGCACAGGGGCGGCCGCGGGGAAAGCCGGTCCCGCCGCGCGGTGCAGGGGGAGGGCAGCGCGCTCAGCCCAGAGCTGCTGGGGCTGCACCGGGGCTCAGGAAACTGGAAGAAGTTTCAACAGGTTATTTATTCAACTAACATTCATTATCAATGAAGTGTCTGCCATAGGAGATGATTTCAGACAGAAATGATGCCCTGGGATCGTGATGAACGTCATACTGTGTGCTAAGCGTTCTGGAATTTTCTCGGGAGGCTGCGAGGAGGTGTCGGTGGCGCTCAAGCAGGGGAGGGATATGATCCATTTCCTTTTCCTTATTGAAACAAGGTGACTGGAGGTGGGGGTGGGGGGGACTGGTGACCAAGAGATTAGCTGACAAGCAGCTGTGACGACAGGTAAGAGCGATGACAGGTGAAGGCAGGGCCGTTAGGCAGAGCGAGTGAAGACAAACAGATGGATCCGAGGGAACTGCTCCAAGTGCAGCGGTCGGTGAGCCCTGGAGGCAGGAGACAAGAATCGGCAACGCTAAGAATTAGAAACTTACGGGGGAACCGTTTGGGGCATGATGACTTCAGATAACTAACTGAGGGGCAAGTCGAGATAACCAGTGGGCAGGGTGAGCCTGAGAGACATAAGAACCCTCACTGGGCATGTGGCAGTCGAAATGGGCTCAAGAGCCTCAGCCATCCCCTAGCGTACATCCCTACAAAAGAAATTACAGAGGAACCAAGCAAGCTGAGAAGGCAGAATCAGAGATAGTGAAGACAACTCAATAGAGAGAGATTCCAGAAGTCCAGGGCCAGTGCCTTCAGGGACCAGGTTATCATGTCATAAGGTCAACAGCATCAACTGTCGGAGGACTGAGAAGCCCTTAGGGCCATAAAGAAGTCAATGGTGAGGAAAGTTCGAGAGAGGATTAGAACCCAGGTTATCATGAAACCAGGGATGAATGATGGTAAAGCTTGGAACAAAGGCATTCTTTCTGAAGGTTTTGGGGCCAAAGAGACAAAGAAAATATGGAGAGTCAAGAAAATATGGAGAGTCATTTGTGGGCAAAGTAGAGTTGGAAGTTAAGATCGAGGGAACTGAAACTTAATTGTATAGACTACAGGGAAGGAGGGAACAAAGGTGGACAGATTTGCGAGATCAGAGAGAGAAGCTGTAATTGTGAGGTAAAATCAGACAGAAATAACCTTGGAGATGCAGGAAGGAGGCCCTCTGTCTGCGCACTCAGTGTACGCGAGATGCTTTGCTGTAAACTTCCACAGGCGTTTCCTGAGCCAGCCAGACACCACCTACAGGGCTTGTCATCCCTAACTTATAATTTGTAAATATGTCAACACTTTGAGGTTATAAATCGTCAAGAGAGGGTAGAGAAGCACAGCCGGTGTGGCTCAGTGGTTGAGCATGGACCCCTGCACCAAGAGGTCGCTGGTTCGATTCCCGGTCAAGGCACATGCCCAGGTTGTGGGCCCGATCCCCAGTGGGGGCTGGCCAGAAGGCACTCTCATCAATGTTTCTATCTCTACCCCTCCCTTCCTCTCTCTCTAAAATCAATTAAGAAAAAAAAATTTTTTTTAAAGAAATGACAGAGTCGAGAGGTGTATTGAAGATGGACCATCTCAGAAGCGATGACCTCTCCATGAAATAACAGACAAGGTCATCTGCCCAACAGCATAGGGAACTGGGTTGTGGAAATGGCACAATGCCTGTATTAAATGTATTAAATGACAGAAGTGATTCCTGGCAGATAACACAGGAAAGAAATAACCAATTATGTAGTAATTATTATAAAATAAAAAATTAATCTGGAATGACTCAACTTTTTCAAGCACCAGCTGAACAATCAGTGTACCCTTATACAAAGGTCCACTAGATGTTTCAATAAACGTCGGACGTTAGTTTTGCAAAAGAAATAGGAATATGGTTCAAACTGATGTTATGTAATCTACCCTCTGTAATACTTAATCGTAAGTCGGTGAAGATATTTCTGTAATAAAGTCACACTAAAATAATGTTTCATGTACTATTTCACAAGTATTTTATTATGTGAAAACTACATCCTGGGAATCACTATCAAATGACTAATTTAAAACTAATTATTTCAACATTAATCTGGATAATGGTCCATAACAAACATAAAAAGAATAATTTGACATTTCAGGGGTTTCCTATCTGCCCCAAGTCAGAGACAAAAATATATCTTTGCTATGTCTTCTATTTAGAGATGAAAACATGGTCTAAAATAACCCCAAAGTGTTGACATATTTACAAATTATATCTTAGTTGATCATAGAATTCAGTGAATAAATAAGAGTTTTTAACAATGAGTTAATTAAGAGAGCTTAATTCTATAACATTTTTTTTGGTGTGAAAAAATCATGCATACTGCATCACCATATGGTCTCAGCACCCTTTGCTAATTACCTACAAATCTCTGCACAGGGTTTACAGCTGCCACTTATTAGTAACTGTACTGTGCTTCTCCAAAGATGTATTCCTCCTTTCATACATTTTTTTTGGTAATATGTTTTTATTGATTTTTTTAGATAAAGAGGAAGGGAGAAGGGGAGAGAGATAGAAACATCGATGAGACAGAAACATTGATCAGCTGCCTCCTGCATGCCCCATTACTGGGGATCAAGCCTACAACCCAGGCATGTGCCCTGACCAGGAATCGAACCAGTGACCTCTCGGTACATGGGACGATGCTCAATCCACTGACCACACCGGCTGGGCATACATTTTTGTTTTAAAGAACAAAACATCATCAAAGAGCATTCATGTTTTAATAGCACTTACTGCACAAAAGTATATATTAATAATTATATGTGCATGTATTTAAAGAACTGATGATTTACATTCAAATGAAGGCTGATCACTAGGTAAGAGTTTCAGCAGACAAACCGTGCGGCAGTTTTGCTTCAGTCAACGTTCTGAAACGTTGGAGGACCAGCCAGGAGCGCCAGCTGCCAGGCAGTGACACTCTGTGACAACAGTTTCCGAGGTGAAAAGCCATCAGCTCTTTCCAAAGCATGATCTGATTTACATGAGTCATATCTAATTGTGGACATCTGCTTTAAACAATGTTAGAATTAAATGTGAATTGTCATACAATAAACCTAGAATAATTATTAATTTTTTAATGTGTGAGCAGTTAGTGTGGCTGAGGAAATGACATAAAATTAAAACTGAAGTATTTAAGTCCAAACGAAACCTTGCTGCTGTCCTTCCCAGAATATTTTCTATGTTCTCCCCTTCATCCACTGGACAAGTCTCCGGCCCCGTGGACTGTCTCTGGGCCGGGACTGTGACTGACCACCAGCCGGGAAGGTCCGCGAAGTGCAAGCCCGTCGCTCAGTGCCCCATGCCCCCCTCTTTAGTGGATATATTGACTTATCCCATGGGTCATAGAACAACAGTCTATAAAAAGCCAAAAAAAAATACTGAATCATCGAACAATTCATTGGTATCCTAGAGGATATCTTTCAATTAGCAGTTGTAAATTCTTCCCTAAACTGTACACTATCCTGCCGGGCTGGCAGGTTTCCTTCCTCCGAACACTGCACACATCTTCCGCAGCGCTGACACCAATGACTTTGATTTCCCAGCTGCCTAAACCGCTAATGGAACTTCGTAATTAAAGTCCTTTCAAAACGACCCCAGATCTGAGCATCTTCCCACCCCGCCTGGTTAGGAACTGCCACCAACACGGGCACTAATCACTGACAATGCAATAAAGGTTCGAGGTGCCATGGTGGTCCCCACCTGAAATCCTTTCCCTGGAAGGGGACTTCTGTCCAGGGAATTAGAGTGTGTCTACTTCTAAGAGCTGATTCTACCATGAGTCTCCTTAACCCTTGCCAGCAAAGATCTCTTCCTTGTGCTGTTCCCGCTTTCTGTCGCAGCGAATCTGCCAGGACGCCAACAAGCCACTTTTACCCCTTCCTCCCTCTCACCGAAGCTGCCAGGTCAATGCATCACGCACCCCCTTATCTACGTATTTGGAAACAGGTCTCCAAATTGCTAATCAATATCCAGAGTGAAACGCTTTCTAATCAGAATTGCTAACGTGTAAAGAAGAAAATCAACAGGAGGCAAAATGAGTCTGAAAAAGAAAGAAAAAAATGTCTAGAAATGCTTGGCCACCCTTTACAGAGGCTTGGGTCAAAGCGGCTACGATACCTCGGGAGTTACACGCATTGGTCCTTCACCCTCCTGGCAGAAATTTTCATATTTTCCCAGAATTCCCTCAAGTACGACAGACCACAGGGCTCACGCCGCCCAGTGTTGGTCCCCCGCGAACAATGTCCCTAGGGGCAAAGTAAAGCTTGGGAGCAGTCGCATGTTCGACTTCGGTGACACGCCAGGCCCCGGAAGGACAGCTCCCTCACAGTCCGGGTAAAGGTGCAAGTCAGAGGTATTGAGTAGACCATAAATTCAATGCTGAAATTAAATTGCAACTGTCAGCCATCACTTACAGAGAGAGAAGTGACTGTATTTATTCCTTCTGTTAGAGCCCAGCTTTCCCAGTGAGACGTGGCGACAGTCACCCTGCAGAGGCTTCGCGAACTGGTCTGCGTGACTGTGATGAAAGGGTCCTCGGCAGAAGACAGAGGCGAACACCGGAATGGGAGGCAAAATGTGCCCACGGCAAAAATCTACTGTCATAATAATATAATGAAAATATAAAACACTTGCCTAATAAAATAGTCCAACCTAATCTAATAAAAAGAATGAGGTTAACGTGTCCATGACAATATATAATGTGATAACTATAAAAATACCTTTTATAATTATCTTTCTGGAAAACATATTTGAAACTGAGATTTAAAGGATTTGGTATTTTCAGTCCTGTGTGTTAACCTTCAATACTTGTCATAATTAACTTGTATATTTATGTGTGTATGGACTTTGTATCTTGAACGGATATTAAAGATGCATTCCCTGAGGCACCTATACAACCCAGGTGAGCAGTACTACTTCATGATATAAAATTATGAGGCTAAACCTTTAAGTAAATTTATCCAATTAGTCACTGGGAAAGGAGAGGTTCTAACTCCTAGGATTCCAGTTTCCAGAGGACTTCAATTGTCTATAAAGACATATGTATCTTTACCTGGTTGGTTTGGCTCAGCGGTTAGAGTGTCAGCCTGTGGACCATAGAGTCCCAGGTTCAATTCCAGCCAATGGCATGTACCTCGGTTGTGGTTCATCCCTGGCCCCGGGTGGGGTCCTGCAGGTGTCTCCCCTCCCCCCCATTCTGTCTGAAGATAAATGTAAAAGTATCCTTGGGTGAGGATAAAAAAAAGACACATTTAGAACTTTACACATTTGGCTGATATTTTGCTTGATAAATCACATGACTTCACGGACGGAAGGTTGGACTGCCTGCATTTGGTGCCCACACACTGCACGAAGGTGACTAAGGAGCCTCCTTTCTGACGCACACCCGATTTTCCCCTGCGATCCTGAGTTTACCTGGACCACACGACGATGTGACAGAGGGGAGCAGGGGAACTCTGTGCCAGGCGAGCTAAACAAGCAAATAAAGACGGAAATCTACTTTTCATGGTTGCCCCACACGTCCTAGGTGTGAGTGGCATAGTAGCAGTGCTTCCCGAACATTAGTAACCTCTGAATGATTAGACATGGGGCGTGTGCAACGAGAAGCTAGACAGCCACAGAGAAGACGCAAGAGATCCGCCGGCACGTACAGAGGACTCGGGTGCCGCCTGCCACTCCAAACGCGGGTGGCGTCCCGGCACCGTGGCTGGCACCCCGTCTCTGGGCCAGTCTCCGAGGCTGGAATGCAAGCAGCACAGGCTGGGCACTCAGACCGCCCCCTGCCCCTCCCCGGACAGCCCTGGTCACGTCCCTCTGTCCCACGCACCCCTGGCCTCGCTCCCCGCACACCCCACATGGCAACGTGTGTCTGTCTTACTCCGCTTGAGTCGCCAGCAGGAGTGATGGACAGATACGTGTTTTTATAACAAGCTCTCCTAGACTTCAATGTTCTCATCTGTTATACGGAAGCTTTATGTTCATTTCAACCTCTATAACTTTATAGTTTCATTTTAAAAATTCAAACACAGGACTCTTCCCTCAGCTGTTTACAATATAATAAGTTTAGTTCTTCAATCTGTATTTATCAAAGAAAAAAACAAACATTATGTGTGCTTCACCTTGACCCCGCAGTGCATGCAAGCCGGTCTGGGTGCTCCTCACAGCCCAGTTCCACACAGTACTGAACATGACCTGTACGTGCTTTTACATATGGGGGCGTACATGGGCGTGGGTCTGGAGAAGAGGGGTCTACCGCACGCTGAGCCATGGATCCAGTTTCCAAAATCGGTCATTTTCTCTGCCTTTAGTCTCTGCTCTCCCTCTGCATCTCCCCTCCTCCTCCACCCTGCTCCACCCTCTTCTCTTCTCTTTCTTGGTATTTGACCAGAAAAATGACGAGCAATGAAAATCAAATCAGTGCAACGAAAGGCTTGACTTTGACATTGAAGTCACCGGGATGATGGCAAAGACGTACGGACTCAAAAGGCTTTTATATTTGACTTTGACTCTGCGGAAGACCCTGTCCATTAGAGATGCTGTTTTTACCTGATGTTTCAAAGATTCTCTACGAGTGAGGTTTGTGTTACCTTGTTATTAAAGTTTTCTTATTTTATTTAAATAATTTACTTTTCATCACTCTTTAAGAAATCGTTCATCTAATCTGCATGACATTCAGATTATTTAATGGTCACTGTGATTAAAGAGTTTGCTGACTCTCAGTGGTAACTATACAACAGTAGTTCGAAGGGAACCCATCTGATGATGCCTCATCCTCTCTGACGAGTCCGAGAATTACCTGATGCGGGCGATCGATGGCACAGCTTCCTGTTTCGGGACTGGGAACCAGGTCCCTCCTAAGCACCGCGGCTGGCTGGAATGTGGGAATGTCACCCACTCCTTCTAGCACTCTCCGTCTCTGCTCTTTGTGTTCATTCCGATAGTAGCAATACCAGCTCTGAAGGATAATGTCATCAGGCATGTTCGGCTCCAAAACTGAAACAAGCAGTTCTAACCATCCTGGGTACCAGGACTCCCACAAGGGTCGAAATGGGTCTGTTCTCTTCAGTGCTGTGACTGGAAAGCCAGGGAAATTATAATGGAAAGTAATTATCTAACACGTCAAATCTCAGTAACAGCTACATGTTACTTAAACACTAATATAATGTGCACCAGAATGTTACAGCTAAATGGCCCTGATCTTCATATGCTCCTAATTCTGTCACAGGTGACCCCTGAACAAGGCAGGATCGGGGTGCCAGCCCCCTTGCAGTCGAAAGTCTGCACCTCGCGTTTGCCTCTCAGGGTAACTGCAGTTGGCTTCCCTCTGGTGTTTCTGGCCCTTGGTGGGGGATGTGCAGTTGGGAACATGTGATGTGAAACCAGCAAACATGAAGGGCAAGTGTATTTATTTCTTAAATCCACGTACAAGTGGACCTGTGCGGTTCAAATCCGTGCGACATCCATGTATGCTACAAGCCCGGCATGAGACACATGCTCACACAAATCCACGAGGCGCCCACGGGGCGTTCGGCTGAAACGGCGTTGAAACGGCTGAGCCACCCCCGCCCACAGGGGAGCAAGGCAGGAAACCCCACTAAGAAGGGCTCGACGGTGTCGCAGCTGTTTTATCAACGAGGAAGCGTGTACAAAGAGGAGGCAAAGATGCTGTCCGAGGCCCTGGGAGGGGCGTTCGGAGGTGAGCTCAGGCGAGTCCCGACTGCCCACAGCGCTGCCCAGGGCACTCCAGCAGGGCCCTTCCTGGCTGCCCGGCGTTAACGTCACTAGTCAAGAGACAGTGACCGCGTGAGCAGTGACACAGAATGGATGCATCATAAAACAGAAATGAAGAAAGAACACAAGAAGCAGCAAAATACAGCTTGAGACATACGTACATGGCTAGATTCCAGGGTGTCAAACGTGCAAGCACACACACACACACGCACGCACACACGCAGACATGTAGGTACACACATGCACACATGCACACACGCATGAGCAGGCACGCACACCCAGACAGCACACATCCCTTATCATTCTAAAGGACAGGAGAGACGACAGCCTCCGGTAAGAACTGAGCAGAGGCGCAGGAGGGAGAGCCGACTCCCGGGGCTCGGGCGGGACAGGGTCAGGTCCTGGTCTTTGCCCCTTCACTCTGCCTTCGTTTGCGTCCCACAGAAAGTCATTCAATCCACAGGAATTTCTATTTGAAATCAGGACGGAATAAAAATCCATGACCTTAAACTTGATGTCGGCAGCCCGTCCGGTGTGGCTCAGTGGCTGAGCGTGGACCCTGCACTAACAGGTCGGGGGTTCGATTCCCAGGCAGGGCACATGCCCAGGGTGTGGGCCAGATCCCAGGAGGTGGCCGCAGGAGGTGGCCAGTCGATGTTCTCTCTCATCGATGTTTCTATCTCTCTCTCCCTCTCCCTTTCTCTCTCTCTCAAATCAATAAGGGGAAATAAAATTGACGTCTGTAGTCTCTTCTTCCTAGTATAAATAAAATTAAAGGAGACAGTACCTTAATTAAAATAAAAATTTCAGCAAATTCTTGTAAGCTTGGGTCATTTGCTAGGTTAACAAGAAGCTTGGTTTTCACCATTTAGTTTCAGAACTTGTTCAAAAGTGTATTATGCCCTGGCCGGTTTGGCTCAGCGGTTAGAGCGTTGGCCCGAGGACCAAAGGTCATGGGCTCGATTCTGGTCAAGGGCGTGTATCTTGACTGCGGTTCCATCCCCAGCCCTGGTCAGGGTCTTGTGGGAGACAACCAATCAATGTGTCTCTCTCACACAGATGTTTCTCTCTCCCTCCCTCTCACTCTATCTGCAGATAAACGGAAAAAAATATCCTCAAGTGAGAATTAAAAAATAAAATAAAATGAAGTGCATTAAGCCAGGCACTGGGCTAAGTGATCTGCACGGACATCCACAGGACAACCCACTCTGTGAGGCATGCCGTGAGACCGTGATGCCACACTTCACTTCGTACCAAGGAGGGCCGTGGGGTAGAGGGGAAGTGCTTTCTGTCGTCACATAGTTACCAGGCAACGGCAGAGCGTCTGAACCCCATCAGCACGCCCGGGGCCCCCGCTTCTAACCAGGCTTTCTACCACGTGCCTCTAACTGGTATTAGATAATAACGGTTCATGTTTCCGGTATAAAAGTGAAATTAACTTAACTGTCTTCGTGAAGATAAGCGATCACCCAGCAGCATCTGCTGACGGGTACTTACCCTCCAAAATAGCTCCCCAAATCTTCTGATTCATTCCAGCAAAGACCAGTTTTCAAATGTTTCCCTAAGAAACATTCTTTCCCATACAAAAAGAATGTCTTGTAATAATTAAACCTGAATACGATTTTCTAACTAATTCTGTGCATCATACCAATGTAAATTTAAACAATTAGAAAATGTTATTGACCTCTTAGTAGAGTAAATTTGAAAGTGTCTTTTTTTAATTCCACAGAAAAATGCTCCACAAATAATAAAGAGATGTGGAATTTCTTATTATGACATGTAAATGGTTTTGGCAATCTTACCTACAATACAGTTGTGAGGCCTTACATATTTGTTCACCTTTTTATTGAATACATCTTGGTGCTATCTGCCAAACAATCTGTTTTAAAAGAGGGCAAAGCCAGATTAATCCATGTATATTTAAGAACTTCTTTAGTATTTCGTTGGTTAATAATCAGTTGCATTCCAACATTTTAAAAAGTATACAGAAGGGATTTTTGCATCCAGAAACTTTACCTAGTAGGCTACCATAACGGTGTTGTCTTATAGAAACAGCCAAACTCCTTTGTTTTTCTAGAGTTTATATACAGAGAGAGTATATGCACATTAATACTAATTAAAAAGGGAACAAAAACATTTTTCCTCCTTAGCTTTTATGAGTTTTCACATATAATTTGCTCCTAAAGAAATTTTAGTTACTTACAGCATTATGAGAATTATTTTACTTTTATGGTTATAATAGGAAAAAAGGAATCACAAAAAACCCTTGGAATTCAATCGCAGAAAGGAGGGATTCAGTACCTTGGGGAGTCCCTGCGCTGGGGGACAGGTACACAGAAAGGGGGAGGGAGACCTGGGTGGCACCGCCCGCTCCAAGCTTCTGCTACGGTCCACTTACACAGACCACAAGCTGCAAACTGACAGTTACAAACAGACATGCACCACAAATGAGAGAGACGGACGCTGAGTGCAATGTACACCGACTTTTTTTTTTTATTATTAATTAATTCATTTTTGTTATAGATGTTTCTCCTTTTTCCCCCACTGATTCCCTCCTCCTCCTCCCTCCCTGCCTTGTCTCCAGCTTTGTTGTCCATGTCAATTGTTCATGCATACATGCATATAAGTTCTGTGGTTTATCTCTTCCCCACCATCCCCTCTTCTGGGGATTGTCAGTCTATACCCCACTTCCACGTCTCTGGCACTACCCCATTCCTCAGACTGTTATGTTCATTATATTCCACAAATAAGTGAGATCATATGATACTTGTCTTTCTCTGTTTGGCTTGTTTTGCTTAGGATGATACTCTCCAGGTCCCTCCATGTCATCTCAAAGGATAAGAGATCTTTCTTTCTTACAGCTGCATAGTACTCCATTGTGTATATGTACCACTGCTTTTTTATCCATTCGTCTACTGATGGACACTTGGGCTGTTTCCAGATCTTAGCTATTGTGAATAGTGCTGCTATGAACATGGGGGTACATATATTCTTTCTGACTGGTGTTTCAGGCTTCTCAGGGTATATTCCTAGAAGTGGGATCACTGGGTCAAATGGAAGTTCAATTTTTAATTTTTTGAGGTGACACCATATTGTTTTCCATAGTGGCTGCACCAGTCTGCACGTACACCGACTTTTAATGATTCACTAAGAGTAGTTTAAAGTATCAGTGGCCTGACCCAATGTTCCCCAAGGGTCCACGGGTCCTGGGAATTCCCTTGACAAATGAAACGCCCACGACTGAAAGGCCTGTGCGGCTCCCGCTAGATACATTCTTCTTGCCCGCGATGGGGTTCGACACCCACCTCCGCTATCCCTGAGCCCGCCACGCCAGGCAACGGCACACAGCGGCGGCGTGCGACACAGCGCCCAGCACGGGGTCACCGTCTGCCAGCAGCAGGGACAAACCTGACCGCAAGGGCCTTTCGGAAGGAGTTTTCACACGGCACCTGCACTGACACGTCTATGACGCTTACAACAGACCAGGTCTCACCTTCTTTCGTGGTAAACAGAAAAAATGACATGTTCTTCGTCATAACTGTGTCTGGTGTCAGATGGGTGCTAGACATATCAGGGTGATCACTTTGTAAGTTATAGAAATGTCTAATCACTGTGTTGGACACCTGAAACTAACATGATATTGTATGTCAACTGCACCTGAAAAATAAGAAAAAATTAAAAATACATAAAAAATAAAAATTAGTCTACGACTAAAAACTGTTGACCTGTGGGAAAGAAATAAAGTCTGTTCGGTGATATATATAAATAGCTAGGTAGGTGTTTATTAATTGACAGACAGACATCTCTTCAGTAGTTGCAAAGAATCAAGCAGTAAAAGGCTTGAAATGTCTTAATTTACATAGATAATAATGACTTTAAAAGTACAGCTTTTTTGGATTGATCATTTACAATCTTTGACAAATGTATAATATAGAGGGGAGTTTAAACGTATAGCATCCTTAGTTACGTGAATTCAAGGGGCTGCTGGTCTATAATTGCAAATGAAAGTTCATTCTGGTTGTGCTGACTAATTTGCATGTGATCCTTCCTTTAACTCAGCGGTTCTCAACCTGTGGGTCGCGACCCCCTTGGGGGTCGAACGACCCTTTCACAGGGGTTGCCTAAGACATAACAGTAGCAAAATCACAGTGATGAAGTAGCAACGAAAATAATCTTATGGTTGGGGGTCGCCACAACGTGAGGAGCTGTGTTAAAGGGCCGCGGCATCAGGAAGGTTGAGACAACTGCCTTAACTCAAACATGTTGTGCAGTCAACCTCCAGGTCCACATTGTTAAAGTTCGTATGGGAACAAGTGTCACTGCGGTTTATTTGTGACGTGCGTGGAGAACACCGCAGCTCCTCACAGGCCGTTCCCTTTCCTGCACAGGATACAGATGAAGAAAGTTGCACAGAATAAGTAATGTGCCACTATAATTTGAAAAGATTCATCTTGCTCACGTTCTCCAGCTTCCACGGAAAGATTTATAACACCACCGAAACCAGAATTGATGAATTCATCACTGTCTGGAGCATTTTGATCATAATCAATAACATAATTTTACCCTTAAATAGGATTTCAATTAAAGCATATTTTTCAAAGCAATTTTACTTGAACAGAAAAGTGGGCTTTTGTACCTTGAATCGTTAACCCGCTGGGTGCCAAAGAGGAAGATATTCTGTCTCGGAAGTTCCGCATCAGAAAAATAGTACATGAAATCGACGTCTCTCTGTCCTCTTGCACACTTCCCACAGGTACATTTCATAAAACACTACACTATTACATTTTCATCATGGAAAATGAAAAGTACTCTACTGTCATAAAATAAAAGAACCGTCAAGGCTGTCGGCCAGAAGTGGTGACGTGCCTGGACACACTGCCTCTGCGTGGACCTGTGCTCTCTGCACGGACACACTCCACCAGACAAAATTAACCTGTCGCGTCGTCACGGAACGCCGAAAACAACCTCACAAAACCCTGGGAAATTTACACGTGGCGCAGAAAATACAATGTATTTTATAAAAATCCTATTCTAGTCGTATTCATTTTTTTTCATGCTCTATTACAACATCCAAAGACACAAATTTCTCCCACAACACAGCACAAAACTGCCTCCCTCGAAAATAAATACCAACTAGAACATTCCTTAGCATGCGGAGCATAATCGTCTCAGTGTGAGGAAGTCACTGTCGGCTTTCCCAGCCCATCTGGCCACTGACTTAGAAGCAAGCCCCCGTGTTTGACTCCTAAGCCCAGCTCCCCCCCGAAGCACCTGCCAGAGGCCCGCTCGCCTCGCGCGCTGCCGTGTCCGTGTCCTGCCCACGACAGGCCGCTCCGTCTCAGCAGCGCACCGCGCGTCCCTGTGCGATGTCCTGCACACGTTCCCCCCACCAGGAAATGCAGGCTGATCCTCCAAACCACAGCTTTCGTGTGCTCTTCCCCGGACTTCTCTCTGATCCCATCCACGGGGCTCATCTGACACTCTACTGCTTTATTCACTGGCCTGTCCTCCTGACCAAGCGGAGTCTTCTAGAAGGCAAGGCCCCCCATGCTTGTGTCCGGAGGACCTTCGAGGTCCCCTGCACGCAGACACTGAAGGCAGTCTGCAAGTGCAGGGATGCGACAAGGACTTAACTCACGGGCTCTGTCCACCCGTCTTCAGGTGGTCAGCCTGCCGATTTAGTTACAAACGCCTAGCTAATCTCTACTGCATTCAGTTCGGTAGGAGTGCCCCTGGGCTTGGTGCTCAGATGTCTGACTGTCAAACTGAAGAAGAGATGAAGTTCATGACCAGGAATTGCAGGTGCTGGAAAACAACATGCATCCAAGAAGGAGCGGACCGGGAAGCGTTGGTGGGCACTGACCCCAGCTTCTCGGACGGTCCAGAGCGGAAAGAACGTGTTTGTCACGATGTTTCTGGGAGGAGCCACCAGACCAAGTGCAAGCAGAGGAATAAAGGCAAGTAAGTTCCACAGGGGAGGCCACAGGGTGAGATGCACGGAGTCCCCACAGACACCAAGGTTAGTCCGAGTGGGTTGGGAGACCCAGCGGTGGCAGGATCTGGGTGAAGTGCAGAATTCTGAACAGAGTGGTTTCTTTCTTTAATATACCTGAGGATATTTTTACATTTATCTTCAGACAGAGTGGGAGGAGGGGAGAGAGAGAGAGACACACATGGACCAGTTGCCACCCACAAGACCACAACCAAGGCGGGGGACAAACTGCAACCGAGGTACGTGCCCTTGGCTGGAATCGAACCCAGGACTCTTTGGACTGTGGGTCGATGCTCTAACCGCTGAGCCAAACCGGCCAGGGCAGCACCGTGGTTTCTTCATTGGAAAGAACCAAGGCGTGTACAGGATGCTCTGCTCTGCGCTCTAACATGAACTTTCCTGGGCCTGGGTGTCTACGTCAGCAAACCCGGGGTGCTGGTCTGTTAGACACAGCAGGGTCAGGGTTGAAGCAGTGACCTATGCATGCCTGTACTTGATATGCAATCTGGTCCCTCGCGCTTCTTTTCGGAGCAGACACAAAGGCCCAGAGATCCTGTTAAGGGTTCAGAGGCACACTTGCTGAGTTCTGTTCCCAGGCTGAGGCTGGGAGGTGGGGGTGACTTAGCCAAAGGGGAGCAGGAGGGAGCAGAGGCCTCGGCATGAGGCACCTGGCGTGGACAGACCCGGGAGCAGCGGCCCAGCCCCCAGCTGTTCTGGACGTGCACCCACCCCTGCAGCTCACATCTGCCAGCGACCCGCACGCCCAGGCTCCTGTTTCCTGCTAGCGAATACATAGCAAAAGGCCCCTGATGTGTGGGGCCCGCTCAACACTTCGCCGAGGTATGAATTACTTCAGTGCTCAGGTCCCTTGTGAGGCAGGCGCTGTGATCGCACCCATTTCACAGAAGAGAAAACCGTGGCGGGGAAAGGCTGAACGCGGGCCAAGGTCCTGTGAGGGGATGAGCACATAAAGCGGAGATTGCACACACACACACACACACACACACACACACACCAGGAAAGAAGTGAGCAGAACCCGGGGACCTCCCTCTGAGCTGGGGCATGTGCACACGCACCTGTATGGTCAACATTCATCTGTATGTCCAGAGGAAATAATCATATAAACAAGAGCGTTTTAACATTTAAAATGGTTTTAAACGTTACTTTACACAGGTTAACAGAAAAGCGCCATGACGAGACAGGTCCCCCTCCGGCGCCCGGTGGAAAGCGGAGAGTGTGCGCCCGGGAAGAGAGACGACAAGACGGGGAGCAAAGAGACCAGCAAGGGTGGGGTGACGCTTCCTCACTTAGGGGAGCAGAAGGCAGATTCCAAACAAACCCCTCTGTCAAAGACCCACGTCCAGCTCCAAGTCGCATGAGTCCAAGAGGGAAGGCCGGAGTTTGGACGGGAGAGATGGGGTCGAGCTCCCCGCTGTCGGGAACGGGGAACCCCCAGACTGCAGTCATTCTGTTTCCTCAGTGTGCCCAGCTCAGAGCTGAGGTGTCCGGGGGCCGAAGGGAGGTCGCCTGTGTTCCTGGCACGACGAGACGCACGCGTTTTCCTACGGCAGCCGGGTGAGGCCGCTCCGGAAGGTCCGAGCCCCTTTGATCGGCATGTGAACGCTAACACCCATGAATCGGAGCCAGGCTTTCCACGGACTCGGGGAAGTGGTGGAAGTGACACAGGAACTGTAACTCCTTGGAAACAGATGGGAACCTGTCGTGTCATTTTTTTAATGATATTGATGTACACACAAATACTCTTGCCATTCCCTCCACAAGGCATGTTACAGGACCCACATTTCATATTTCCACACAGGACTTGAGATATCAGTCCTGGGGGAGGGGAATGTTCTGGAACCTGAAGAAAGCAGAGGAAATAAGAACATAAATACATTTAGCAGATGAATTACAGCTGTTCACAGGAATGTTACCTTATAATGTTTTTATGCCACAAATACATGTGAGATTAATTTTTTTTCCCCACAAAAATTGTGCACAAATACCAATTTCAAAATTATGTTAGGGTTAGTGCCCATCAATAGATGAGTGGATAAAAAAGCTGTGGTACATGTACACAATGGAGTACTATACAGCTGTAAGAAAGAGAGATCTCTTACCCTTTGAAACAACAGGAGAGACCTGGAGGGTATTATGCTGAGCGAAATAAGCCAGTCAGAGAAAGACAAGCGCCACATGATCTCACTTATTTGTGGAACATAATGGACAAAATAAGCTGTCGACCAAAAGAGATCCGGAATCATGGGGGTAGGAACCAGACTGACACACCTCAGAGGGATGGGGTGGGAGGGGCGGGAAGAGATAAACCAAAGAGCTCACATGCATATATGCAAACCAATCCACAGGACCTTAGGCTGGGGAAGGCAGGAGTCGGGTGGGAGCAGGAAGGAGGGGTCAATGGAAAAAAAGGGGGACATCTGTAATACTTTCAACAATAAAAAAAAAAAGAAAATTAGTTTTGGGGGTTTTTTGTATGTGCCCCTAGCGGGAACCAAACCCAGGACTCTCTGGTCCGCAGGCCAACACTCCAACTGCTGAGCCAAACCAGCCAGGGCAACTAGTTTTTAAGCTAAGTTGGTAATTATGTTAAAAGAACTATAGTACATCAGGAAAATCATTACTG